CAATATAGGTTCAGTATAGGGCAATGAGGGCAAATAATATGTCTGCATTAAAACGTCTTTCCCCTTAATCCTCTTGGGGTCTCTTGCCTCTTTATATTTTCCTGATATATTTTCACTTCTACCTTGATATTGGCAGCTTGGAAAGTCCTGGAAGATTCCCCAAATACCAAGAATATGACTTCAGATCTGTTTTTCAAACTATAAAATTTTACTATCTAGGTGATCTTAAGTGTTTTAATTTATCCTTTCATGCTATATCTGTATTTTTGGAAGACTTACAGTATCTACCTCCCAAGATAGTGTTTTTTAAAAACTACCTGGTACATGGTAAGTGCTCATTAAAGATTATTAGTAGTAGTCCTGTACGTGAAGTTATTTTTTTAAAAGATTTATTTTAATTACTTGAAAGTCAGAGTTATACAGAGAGAGAAGGAGAGGCAGAGAGAGAGAGAGAGAGAGAGAGGTCTTCCATCCATTGGTTCATTCCCCAATTGACTGCAACTGCTGGAGATGCTCCAATCTGAAGCCAGGAGCCAGGAGCTTCTTCCAGGTCTCCCATGCTGGGGCAGGGGCCCAAGGACTTGGGCCGTCTGCTACTGCCTTCCCAGGCTAGAGCAGAGAGCTAGATTGGAAATGGAGCAGCCAGGACTTGTACTGGTGCCCATATGGGATGCCGGCACTGCAGACAGCAGCCTTACCTACTAAGTGACAGAGCCAGCCCCTGTACATAAAATTATAAAAGTCTATGAATTTTTTTCAGATTTATAGGATTCTCTCTACTACTAACATGATGTGTCTTATGTAATCTATAAATCTACTGAATTTCTCTATAATATCATTTTCAGTTACAAATGAGTATATCAAACACAGATGGAAAAGGACTTTGTGATTCATGAATTTATATATCATGGAGTTGATATTCCTCACAGTGATCATTCAAATTAGGTTATATGGAAAGAGTATCTGATCATTGTCTGGGTACTGCTCTTCACAGAGGATTATGATATTACTCAAGTTTAGATGATAAGTGACAAGTAAACAAATGACCATGTAGTTAACAGAGAAACTATTCAAATAAAAGTATAAGTCTGAGTGTATTAAACCTTTCTGCTTTCATATTCTTTACTAAAAACAATGTGGAAAAATTGAAATTATCTCTCTTGGGCAGTGAAAATAATAAAACAATTTCTTGTGAACAAAAGCAACTTAATGGGGAAAATTTTGTTCATGGAGAGGGAGTCTCAGTCACCAAGGGAGAGTCATTCTTTCTCCTTATTAACTGGCAAGTAGATGATAAATACGTTTTGTGAATTTTCATTATCCAGGGTGGTGATATTTCTCATAAACCTAAATGTCGCAGATATCAAATCACTAATTATAATAATTATATGTAGTATAATTAAGAAGATACTTTTTAACTTAATTTCCACAGTCTAGGTAATAATATGCAAACTTCATTGTTGGTCTTTGTCATATAGGAAGAAAATTGTACACTTAGAAGATATGAGAATTGTGTTCATGCAATTTTTATGATATTTAACCTATTGGTTTATGATAAACTCCTTTGTGTTCACAAAAATAATTTGAGTTTCTTAAGGCCCTGAAAAGACCTCATTTATCTTTTCTCTAGTGATGAAAAAATGATCATGTGATCAATATATCCAAGTATTTCTGAATAATCCATTGCTTATGTTTTAAATATTCAACATGTGTAAAACAAAATACTTCAAATAATATGCATTCTCAAATCTAAATAATAAGTACTGAAGTAAATAGTCCACTAGAATCTACTTAGCTGTGTGGTATTGATTTTATAGAATGAGCTTAACATGATGGACATACAGAATGAAAACCTGAGGTTACGTTTACCAGCTCAAAAAGGAACAGTATCATGTATTCCATGTGATTAGACTGGGTTACAAAGAGTCCTAAGTGAATCAGCCATCACATTTTTGTGTTGCTGTTTGAATACCTCCCTTCAAGTTTGACAAAGTATCTAAAAGGAATGTCCAAACAACTCCAATCGTCAAAATAAAGTGATTTCATTGCATCCTTGGCATTTCTTTGAAAGGATTACAACAGAAAAGTCAATGAGACTTTATTTCTTTTCTGCTCCTTTTTCATGTGTTTTTTTCTTAAAGGAAATTGATAAGTTTTTTAAGACATATTTATTTATTTGTTTATTTACCTGAAGGATGGAGTGACAGAAAGACACATACATAGCCAAACACACACACACACACACACGCACACAACAGGGGAGCTGGGAGCAGAGAGGGAGAGAGATATATTTTGCATTCAGGTTTACTTTCCAAATGGCCACAACAGCCATGTCTGAGGCAGGAGTTCTATTATGGTCTCCCACATGGGTGATATGGGGCCAAGCAATCTGGCCACCTTCCACTGCTTTATCAGGCACATTAGCAGGAAAATAGACTTGAAGAGAAACAGCCAGGACTTGAACCAGCACTCTGACAGGGGATGCTGGCATTCCAAATGGAGGCTTAAGCCACTGCACTACAATGTTTGCCCCAATAAATTGTTTTTAATGGAATTTGAATTTTGGTTTTGGTTACCAACTTGTATTTTTCTCCACAACAATAAGAAACCATTTCTTTGCATTTGGGTCAAGCAGAATATAATGGGTGCTTAGTTACCATCTGTTGAATTAGTCTTATTCAGAGATGGGTTTAACAGTTTTAGTTGATGTCAGATGACAGCAAAATTCTTGACTCTGAGCTTTCTAGTATAAATCATTCAATTTTTTGAATAACTTTTTTACTTGAAAGACAGAGTTAACACACACAGAGAAAGATAGAGAGATAGAGACAGAGAGATAGAGAGAGAGATATAGAGATCTTCTACTCATTGGTTTACTCCCCAATGTCAATAGACAGGATTGGACCAGAAATGCCAACTGGATCTCCCATATAGAGGGCAGGGACTCCAGCACTTAGACAATCATAATTTGCTGCCTCCCACATGCACTAACAGAAAGTTTATGCTGAACTGGAAATGGGCTAGCTAGGATTTGACCTTGGTACTCCATTAGGGATGTTGAAATCTCAAAAAATGGCTTACTTTGCTGAGTTACAAGGCTGCTCCCTAAATCCTTCACTTTTCATTTATATTTTTTTAAGATTTTATTTATTTATTTGACAGGAAGAATTACAGAGAGAGAGAGAGAGAGAGAGGTCTTCCTTCCTTTGGTTCACCCCTGAAATGGCCGCTATGGCCGGAACTACGCCGATCTGAAGCCAGGAGCCAGGTGCTTCCTCCTGGTCTCCCATGCGGGTTCAGGGGCCCAAGCACTTGGGCCATCCTCCACTGCCTTCCCAGGCCACAGCAGAGAGCTGGACTGGAAGAGGAGCAACCGGGATTAGAACCCGGAGCCCATATGGGATGCCGGCGCTGCAGGTGGAGGATTAACCAAGTGAGCCATGGCACAGACCCTCATTCATATTTTTTAAAAGATTTATTTATTCATTTGAAAGTCAGAGTTACACAGAGAGATAAGGAGAGGCAGAGAGAGAGATAGAGAGAAGTCTTCCTCACTGGTTCATTCCCCAATTGGCTGCAATGGCCAGCGCTACGCCAATCCTAAGCCAGGAGCTAGGAGCTTCTTCCAGGTCTCCTACGCAGGGGGCCCAAGAGCTTCCTAGGCCATAGCAGAAAGCCGGATTGGAAATGGAGCAGTCCGGACTCTGGCACTGCAGGTGGCAGCTTAACACCACAGCGCTGGCCCCTTCCATTCATATTTTAGGGAGTGAAGAATTTGGCTCCATGCGGAAAGAATTACTAGGCTCAGCATGCTTTGCCAGGATTCTGAATGCCTATGTGTATACTAATTGCAGATATCTATAAATAATATCCACCATAGCTATGGAATAAACATGAATAATATTCACTGGGATGGCTTTCCACTCATGTTCTTAAAGCCGTCTTTGTGTGTAATAATAGAGAATCAATGGGCCCTTGCTCATTTTGGGTTCTGGGTAACAATTTTAGCACTCCAGAATCTACCATAATACATTTTAGGGAACTTATAAATGAGCTCAGAAGTAACTCCAAGCTACATAGAAAAAACAATTAAAAATGATTTCTGATTTGTAAGAAATTAGTGTTTATGCATTGAAGTTAATAAAACCTACTTGTGGACAGAACTTTCATCAATTACAACTTAGCCAGATAGTGTAATAAACACATATATCATTGTACTGTTCATATATATTTTTAAATAAAAGTATGGATTTTTAAATCATCTGATCAAATTGGATCTCAATAACTATCTATAGAAAATTAAATATTCTCATGGATGGCACTGTGTTGTAATGAGTTAAGCTTCCTCTTGCAACTCTGGCATCCTCTATGAACGCAGGTTCATGTTCCAATTGCTCCATTTTGGATTGAGTTCCCTGCTAAAGCACCTGAGAAAGCAGTGGAAGATGGCCCATGTCCTTGGATCCCTGAACCCACATGGAAGACCTGGATGAAGTTTCTGGCTCCTGGCTTTATCCTGGGCCAGTCCTGGCCTTCCTGGTCATTTGGGGAGTGAACCAGTGGATGGAACATTTCTCTCTGTATGTAACTCTGCCTTTCAAATAAATAAAATAAATTATTTAGAAATTAAATGTTCTCAGTGATAATTTTTCTATAATTTTGTAACTTGAATTCCTCATTATATTGAAATTCACTTTTAATACAGGGGAATTTAAAATAGCAAATTTGCAAATATAAAACATGATTTCTGGAATATCAAGTGAATTGCTGCAAGATTATTTGCACTCATAAATTTATGCTCATATTCTTACAACTGTTAAATTTCTAAAGAAACTAAAGAGAAGAAAATCAGTAAATGTTTTTTTTGTGTGTGATAATGAACCAGTTTTTTCTAACCACCAACTATTTGAATCTGGAATTATTCAACCAAGCATAGAAATGTTCCCAATAAATAAGCCTCAGTAATCAAGGCTATGCAGAGTCAATAAATGAAAGGGTTCTCTTTTTCCTTGTTTCATCTACACTGAAAATCTGTAGACTGTTTAAGAAATCAGTTACAATGAAGATCTTTTTCTTTCCCTCCATGTTTCTCTTCTTTGGTGTCCTCATTCTACCAGGTAATGTGAATACTGTTTCCAGAGGAGTCAGCATTAAAGAAAGCAAGGGTCAGAATTGTTTAAGCAGATATCACTGACATCATAAAACACTGCTACCATGTCACATTACTTGGGTGGCGAAGATATTTGAATACTCTTCCAAGCATTGTATAATATTAAAGACGTTGAGTTCATGAATGTATAAAAACGTACATGTATGTGTTTGTGAAAATTATTGGGTAAAAATAATGTATCAGTTTAGTCAATATATTGATTTAGTTAATCCATTAAATGTGTATTATCATTATCTAAATTAACTGAATTTACTATATTAATAGGCATGAAACAAATTGGGAATGAGTGAATATGTGTGGAAATAATGCATCCCTATATTTAGTGTTGATAACAGAGGTTAAGTAATACCTTGTTGGTATTTTTAATCTTAATTATGTTCTAAACTGAGATTAGCTGCACATCAACCTATTTCCATTTAAATTCTCCTTCTTTATTTACTCAACTACATTTTAAACACATGCATGCTTATCATTTATAAAACCTCTTATAATGTATAGGGCCATGAAATAAAAATAAATCTATTAGTATTAGTCCTCATTTCTGAAAACAAACATATTTTAAAATATTTTCATTTTCTTTTCCAGTGGGCTCTAGACTTCGTTTTACCATCCCTGGTACCATTCCTACAGGATTGACAACAATATGTATTCCAAACCTTCGAATATTAGAAATGAAGGCAACTTCTTCCCCAATATCTAAAAGCAAACAACTTGAGAAAAAAGAATTCAGCACAGGTAAAATATAAGAATAATTTTGACTTGAACATTCAATGCCTGTTAAATGAAATAAATTTCTTAGGAGTGTACTCTGTTCCAAACCTCATTTATATCATTGTTCTTGTCTTTCCTCTTCTAGCTTTATAATGGATGAATTTCAATTTCAGAATGACAAAAAATCTTATTTAAAATCTTAGTGTCTGAATAATTGATAGAATCCTGACTAAGCACATGCCATTGTTATTTTCCTGAAGGAAATTTCTCTGATTATTATTCCTGGCATCATTATAATCTTTTTAGATGTAGTTAAGGCCATTATGCTTAGTCATCATATAGTTGACACAGTTTCCCTCCTATCTGACAGCTGGCAAAACTTATTTTGGTCACACACCACTGTCCAGAACATTGAAATCTTTGGATCATTCTATCAAAAGAGTGATTAAGATGTTATTGCTATTTCAAAGTATAGAGTTCTTAAGATAACTTGAAAAAGCAGTTGAGTAGCAAGAATCTAGAATGGGAATTTGGGACCTAGTTGAAAAGATGAATTCTTGACTAAGTTGAACCAGTCATTAGCAAGATGAAAGAAAGGCATTTCAAGTACTCCTCCCTGCTACAGAAATGCCACTGTATGACTATCAACATGTTTTCGCAATAGTTAAGGCAATCAAAGGAATATTATAGCTCCTTGTGTAGCAAAGAAATTAAAAAAAAAAAGACAGATTGCAAAGGATTGCAAAGGGTAGGAAGAGAAGTTCTACCCTACTAGCATCACCCCTACGCAGTCCCAGGCATTAAATTGTGTAAAGAGATCTACTTCTCATGAGGGAATCAGGCTAGCATACATGGACATAGGATTAGCCTTTCCCAGTGTCACACAGATCCCTATAGCCCTATGCTTCAGCAGATCCAGGTACTAAGCCCATGCCAATAGACAACAATACTGGTCTGGCCCTGAGTGACCCAAGTCCCAGACAACCTCTGTGGATTCAAGTTCCAGGTTGGCCCTCACAGTCTTAGTCTCCAGTCCAGGCTCAGTGAATCTAGGTATCAGACTGACATCAAGAATCCCAGGGCCTAGGCCAGCTACCATGACACAAAGCTCCAGCAGACTCAAGTCTGGATCTGCTTCAGCAAGCACAATATTCAGGATCAAAAGAGCAGTCCATTTTGGCAGGCCATTCCTGTTAACCCAGGCACTAGCTCAATTCCAGCAAGTGTGTGTTTCCTGCTCACTCAGGCTCAAAGCCTATTCCAGCACAAGTTAAGCCCTGGGGACTCAACCTTCCTGCCAAGTCCCTGGCGACCAGGCTTTAGACCTGAACTCATGGATTCAGGCCCACATCCATATCTGTGGAGCTTGTCAAGCTCTACTTTAGCAGAATCAGGCTCCAGACACAACCCAGTAGATCTACTATCAGGTGTGCCCATCTGCTGACACAGGCACCAGACTAGTCTATCAAAGGATTCCAAAAACATGAACGGCTGTAGACCACACAAAGAAGCCATGCAAAAGTCTCTGAAAGGGCTGAAGGATAAAGGAATTTACCAGAAAGCACCAGTCTTCAAAGCCTAGAATTAATCTGCACTACAAATGTACAGACACCAACATACAGTCATAAGGGTCAAGAACAATGACGGAAACATGTCACTACCAAAGGAACAAAAAAAGCACTTATGACACCCTCTAAAGAAATAGAAGTATGTAAACTCCCTGGAAATCAATTCAAAATAATCATTTCAATGAAATGAAAAGAAACTGTTCACAAAAGATAGAAAAGAATAGATGATTAAAGCAAGAAATGTAAAAGACAAGGGGAAATTATTTTAAAACTCAACAGGGGCCAGGTAAATGTAATGTGGCAGGTAAAGCGGCAGCCTATAAGGTGGGCATCCCATGTAGCACAATAGGTTAAAGCCCCCGCCTGCAGCACCAACATCTTGTATCGGCACCAGTTCATGTCCCAGCTGCTCTATTTCTGATCCAGCTTCTTGCTAACGGCCTGGGAAAAGCAGTGGAAGATGGCCCAAGTGTCTGTGCCCCTGTCACCCACATGGGAGACCTGGAAGAAGTTCCTGACTTTTTATTTCAGCCTGGCCCAGGCATGACCATACAAGCTATCTGGGGAGTTAACCAATGTACAGAAGACTTCTGTCTCCATGTCTCTCCCTCTCTCTCTGTAACTCTGACATTTAAATAAATAAACACTCCTGAAAAAAATCAAACTTTGTAGAGTAGAAAAATAGAATGAAATAAAATTCAATAGAAAGAACATAAAAAATGCATGTACTCTGAACAATACTATACAGCAGTAAAAAAAAAAAATGAAATCCGGTCATTTACAACAAAATGGAGGAATCTGGGACACATCATGCTGAGTGAAATAAGCCAGTCCCAAAGGGACAAATATCACATGTTCTCCCTGATCAGTGACAACTAACTGAGCACCAAAAAGGAAATCTGTTGAAGTGAAATGGACACCATAACAAACAGTGACTTGATCAGCCCTTGTCCTGACTGTTGATGAACAACTTAATACTTTATCCCTTTTAGTATTTTTTTTGTCCTACTTAATACTATGGGTTGAACTCTGTAATTAACATACAATTATTCTTAGGTGCTTAAACTTAACTGAAAAGTGATCCCCGTTAAATATAAGAGTGGGAATAAGGGAGGGAGGAGATGAACAATTTGGGACATGCTCAATTAGACTTGCCCCAAATGATAGAGTTAGAAATGTGCCAGGGGCTTCCAATACAATCCCATCAAGGTGGCATGTACCAGTGCCATCTCACTATTCCCAGTGATCAATTTCAGTTCATAATGGATCATAATGATAGGTCTAAGTCAAAGAGATCACATAAACAAGAATAGTGTCTGCAAATAGTAACTGATAATATTAAAAAGGAGAGAACAATACAACATGGGAAGTGGGATACACAGCAGACTCATAGAATGGCAGATGTCCTAAACAGCACTCTGGCCTCAGAATCAGCCCTTAAGGCATGCGGATCTGGCTGAAGAGAGCCCATAAGAGTATTGCAGGCATGGAAAGCCAAGACACTCTGGCAAAAAAGCAAACAAACAAACAAAAAAAAAAAACGCCACACACAAACAAACCTAAATGAAAGATCTCTGTGAGTGAGATCCCAGTGGAAAGAATGGGCCATCAAGAAGGAGGTTCCTTTCTCTGAAGGGAGGAGAGAACTTCCACTTTGACTATGACCTTCTCTAAATAAGATCAAAGTCGACGAACTCAAAAGGCTTCCATAGCCTTGGCAACTCATGACAAGAGCCTAGCCTCGGGTGATTACTGACGCCATAAACAAGGTGTCAATTTGTTAAGTCAACAGCAGGAGTCACTGTGCACTTACACGTCATGTAGGGTCTCTGTCCTTAATGTGTTGTACAATGCAAATTAATGCTATAACTAGTACTCAAACAGTACTTTCTACTTTTTGTTTCTGTGTGGGTGCAAATTGTGGAAATCTTTACTTAGTATATACTAAATTGATCTTCTGTATATAAAGATAATGGAAAATGAATCTTAATGAAGAATGGGATGGGAGAGGGAGTGGGAGATGGGAGGGTTGTGGGTGGGAGGGAAGTTATGGGGGGGAAGCCATTTTAATTCATAAACTGTACTTTGGAAATTTATATTTATTAAATAAAAGTTAAATAAATAAATAAATAAAAATAAATAAAAATGCAATAGAAAATATCAACAGAATTAATTAAACAGAAGAAAAAAACTGTGATACCAAATTCAGGATATTTGAAATTATACTAAATATGGCTGGTAAATGAGAGACAGAGTGGAGATTGGCCAACCCATGTTCAATGGTTCCAGGGAATGAGTGAACCAAATAGAGGAAGGTATTAATAAATTGTGTTCCCTTCAAGTGTTGCTTTGTGAGTCACTATCTAATTTGCTGAAATAGGTAGTGGTGGATCTTCTACCTTGGGAATTGGATACTTGCTGATTTCCTTGATCTATTCTGCTACAGATAGGGAAAATATCTCCCAGTGTAAAAATGTGTTTCCTTTATTTCTCTTCTGTTTTTCTGTGCTTCTTTGAGCATCTTCTTTTTAAGTCTCAACATTTTCTACCTTGATTATTAATTGTAGCCATTCTTGCCTTGTTTCAGCCAACCGTATACAGATCCCGACGGAAATCAATTGGTGGCAAGCTTGTTTATATATTGGTGGACAATGTAGACCTCAGTGTGGTAACAAAGAGTTTAGACTTTCATTCTGTGAAAGTCCTAAATTTGCTTGCTGTTTAAGAGAATGTGATCCAAACAACAAGGTATAATTGAAGAGACACAGATGCAAGAAGCAGAGACATCTTAATTAAGTCTTTCTATCATTGCATTACTTCATTTATGGTCTAGTATTTCTGTGCATGTATATCTATAAAGAATTAAAAAAATTAAACAAAATATTTGTCAACCTTAACCATTATTGTGCTTTGTACCTACTTGGAAGAAAGAAATAGAATAAAGACTGGGACTTTGAGTTTATGAATAGAAGCATAGAAGAGAAAAAAAATCCATAATTGGACTAGCAGGTTTAGTGAGATGCTGGAACTATTCTTTTTTTAGTGTGAAAAGCATGTTACATTCTGTTAGGAGAGTTAGGAATGAGGAAAGAGTTAAAAAGAAATGTTGTCTTGGGACTTGTGAGAATTGTTGGAAGAATTTTGAAGGATTACGGAAGCCTCAAACTTTCTCATATTGGTTATACTTTTCTTCCATATATTGGTCAATTTCCTAAAAAAATCAAAATAATCCAAGTGTTTAGAGCCATCATTTTGAGGAAAATAACCTAAAGGGTAAAATAGAGGGAGACTACTCAAAAGAAGAAATAGAAACTGAATCCATGTAGCTTATATATTTGCAATACAATTCTTACAATTCATGAACAGGAGGCCGGCGCCGCGGCTCAATAGGCTAATCCTCCACCTAGTGGCACCGGCACACCGGGTTCTAGTCCCGGTTGAGGCACCGGATTCTTTCCCCGATGCCCCTCTTCCAGGCCAGCTCTCTGCTGTGGACAGGGAGTGCAGTGGAGCATGGCCCAAGTGCTTGGGCCCTGCACCCCATGGGAGACCAGGAGAAGCACCTGGCTCCTGCCTTCGGATCAGCGCGGTGTGCTGGCCACAGTGTGCCAGCCGTGGTGGCCATTGGAGGGTGAACTAACAGCAAAGGAAGACCTTTCTCTCTGTCTCTCTCTCACTGTCCACTCTGCCTGTTTAAAAACAAAACAAAACAAAACAAAACAACAAAAAAAAACAATTCATGAACAGGTAATATCCCTTCATTTATTTATATTTAAGTTTTCTTTTTTTTAAAATTGACAGAGTTAGACAGTGCCTTCTGTTGGTTCACTTCCCAAATGGCCACCATGGCAGGCAATGCACCGATCTGAAGCCAGGAGCCAGGTGCTTCTTCCTGGTGTCCAATGTGGGTGCAGGGCCAAAGCACTTGCGCCATCATCCACTGCCCTCCCGGGCCACAGCAGAGAGCTGTACTGGAAGAGGAGCAACCTGGACTAGTATCCGGCACACCAACCAGGACTAGAACCTGGGGTGCCGGCGCTACAGGCAGTGGATTAACCAAGTGAGCCATGGCACTGGCCCCAATATTTAAGAAATAAATATTAAGCTTTGGAGAAAACCCTCATATGCACAATTTAATTCTTTTTTAAAACTTTTATTTAATAAATTTCCAAAGTACAACTTTGGGATTACAGCGGATTCCCCCCTCCAAAACTTCCCTCCCACCCGCAACCATCCCATCTCCCATTCCCTCTCCCATCCCATTCTTCATTAAGATTCATTTTCCATTATCTTTATATACAGAAGATCAATTTAGTATATACTAAGTAAAGATTTCCACAATTTGCACCCACACAGAAACAAAAAGTAGAAAGTACTGTTTGAGTACTAGTTATGCCATTAATTCACATAGTACAACACATTAAGAACAGAGATCCTACATGGGGAGTAAGTGCACAGTGACTCCTGTTGTTGATTTAACAATTGACATTCTTATTTATGATGTCAGTAATCACCCGAGGGTCTTGTCATGTCATGACCTGCCAAGGCTATGGAAGACTCTTGAGTTTGCCAACTCTGATCGTATTTAGAGAAGGTCATAATCAAAGTGGAAGTTCTCTCCTCCCTTCAGAGAAAGGAACCTCCTTCTTTGATGACCCGTTCTTTCCACTGGGATATCACTCACAGAGATCTTTCATTTAGGTTTTGTTTTGTTTTTTTTTTTTTGTTTTTTTTTGTTTTTTTTTTTTGCCAGAGTGTCTTGGCTTTCCATGCCTGCAATACTCTCATGGGCTTTTTAGCTGGAATCCGAATGCCCCAAGGGCTGATTCTGAGGCCAGAGTGCTATTTAGGACATCTGCCATTCTATGAGTCTGCTGTGTATCCCACTTCCCATGTTGTATTGTTCTCTCCTTTTTAATATTATCAGTTAGTATTTGCAGACACTATTCTTGTTTATGTGATCTCTTTGACTCTTAGACCTATCATTATGATCCATTATGAACTGAAATTGATCACTTGGACTAGTGAGATGGCATTGGTACATGCCACTTTGATGGGATTGTATTGGAATCCCCTGGCACATTTCTAACTTTACCATTAGGGGTAAGTCCAATTGAGCATGTCCCAAATTGTACATCTCCTCCCTCCCTTATTCCCACTCTTATATTTAACGAGGATCACTTTTCAGTTAAGTTTAAGCACCTAAGAATAATTGTGTGTTAATTAAAGAATTTAACCAATGGTGTTAAGTAGAACAAAAAAAGTACTATAAGGGATAAAGTAGTAAGTTTTTTCTCAAAAGTCAGGACAAGGGCTGATCAAGTCACTGTTTGTTATGGTGTCCATTTCACTTCAACAGATTTCCTTTTTGGTGCTCAGTTAGTTGTCACCGATCAGGGAGAACATGTGATATTTGTCCCTTTGGGACTGGCTTATTTCACTCAGCATGATGTGTCCCAGATTCCTCCATTTTGTTGTAAATGACCAGATTTCATTTTTTTTTACTGCTTTATAGTATTTTATAGAGTATATATCCCATAATTTCTTTATCTAGTCTTCTGTTGATGGGCATTTAGGTTGATTCCATGTCTTAAGTATTATGAATTGAGCTGCAATAAACATTAAGGTGCAGGCAGCTTTTTTATTTGCCAATTTACTTTCCTCTGGGTAAATTCCAAGGACTGGGATGGCTGGGTTGTATGGTAGGGTTATATTCAGGTTTCTGAGGAATCTCCAAATTGACTTCCATAGTGGCTTTACCAGTTTGCATTCCAAATACAGTCAAGAAGAGGCATTGTTACATTTAAAAGAGCAAACTTGGCAAACTTTGTTTATCAGACATCAAAAAACCTAATATAGTAATTAAAAGTGTATGGTGTTGGTGCACTAACTATTAAAAAAAAAGATGGTCTAGAATGACAGCTAGTATATTTAGCTGAACTTCCAGAGCAGTGGCGAAATCACCTTTTCAATAAATGATATTGCTTTACTTGAATACCGTATAGAAACAGTTGAATCTTGATCCCCTCATTCACGTCACAGAAAGAAGAATGTATTACCAAGTGGATCACATATATAATGTAAAATGTAAATCAATGAGCACAGACCTACAATAGCAACTACTAAAAACTCTCAAATTTGCTACCTAAAAATGATTAATTGTTATGTCTTAGAACTCTCATTGAGTATATTTATGAGTGAAAAATGCAGCATATAAAGTGGGTAGGGATTTTAGATGTCCATTTATCAAAAATGATTTATTAAGAATATAAGGAAATCATATTAAATGAAACAAAGAAAAAAAAAACTAAAAATTGGTGAATGACTTTCACAGACACCTCACAAAAGAGAATATACAAATGTTCAGTAGATATAACAACTTTCTCAAACATATTAGTTAATGAGTACAGATTATCACAATTCACATATTAATTGGTTAAATTAGAAAAGAAGGAGCATAAGCAAGTGTGGGTTAAGATGTCAACAACTGGAGACATTTAGTCTTAGCAGGACAGAGTATTAAGGCCATACCTCCTTCACCCCAAGTTGATAGTCAACAGAATTATGAAGTAAGTTCATCTAAATGCAAGTTTAAAAATGTTCATGGCGGCACTTTCACAAAAGTTTCAAAGTAAGACTACAAATTGCCAGTGGGGTGGAAAACTGTACTGTGATATTTAGAAAATGATAGACCACACCAAAACATTGAATAGTAAATGACTTATACACGTAGTATGAAGAAGCTTTACAAATACACTACGTAGTAAAAGAAATGAGATTCAGAAAAGTACGTAAAAGAACGCATCTCAATTAAAAAATAAAACTCAGGGAGCCAGCAATGTGGTTTGTCAGGTAAAGCCGCCTCCTACAGGGCTGGCATCCCATTTGGCCACCAGTTAGAGTCCCAGCTGCTCTACTTCCGATCCAGCTCTCTGCCATCGCCTGGGAAAGCAGAAGATGGCTCAAGTCCTTGTGCCCCCTGCACCCACATGGTAGACCCGGAAGAAGCTCCTGAATCTTGGTTTCGGATCAGCACATCTCCAGCCGTTATGGCCAATTAGTGGGTGAACCAGTGGATGGAAAACCTCTCTCTCTCTCTCCCTCTCTGTCTCTCTCTGCCTCTCTATCTCTCTTTGTGTAACTCTGACTTTCAAATAAATAACTAATAAAATACTCTCATGGGCTCTTCAGCCAGATCCGAATGCCTTAAGGGCTGATTCTGAGGCCAGAGTACTATTTAGGACATCTGCCATTCTATGAGTCACCCCTGTATATCTTGTACATTATTCTGTGTAAGCACATTTTACTTTATTCTTTTTAATAGCTACATGCTATTCCATTTGATGCTTTTGCTTCAGGTTATTGATGAACACTTTGATCATTAAAAAATTTTGTGATGGCTGGTGCCGCAGCTCACTTGGCTAATCCTCCACCTGCGGTGCCAGCACCCCGGGTTCTAGTCTTAGTTGGGGCGCCAGATTTTGTCCAGGTTGCTCCCCCTCCAGTCCAGCTCTCTGCCGTGGCCTGGGAAGGCTGTGTAGGATGGCCCAAGTGCCTGGGCCCTGCACCCACATAGGTGACCAGGAGGAAGCATCTGGCTTCTGGCTTGGGATGGGTGCAGCGCCGGCCGTGGCAGATATTTGGGGGGTGAACCAATGGAAGTAAGACCTTTCTATCTGTCTCTCTCTCTCTCGCCTTCTAACTCTGCCTGTCAAAAAAAAAATACTGTGACAAATGTTAGTTTCAAGAACACCATAATAGATAAGGTGTGATGATGAGTGTATCAACATTTATCACAAAACACCTTTTTTATCCTGGTTCAATATATGGAAAACATATCCTTTATCCTTAGAGCCATTTTAAGTGTA